GCTCTTTGTAACTTTTAGCGGCCTCTAGTGGTGATGTTTCAGATTGCAACCAAATTTTACAAGAGCGCTCGTGCTCGAACTCATAGACAATACCGTCTATTATGCAAATATCTCGGCGAATACTAAACGGATTCGGCGAGCACCGAGCTCGTTGGGACCATCTAGTCGAGCTGAAAAGAACCATATAAGTTCCATAGTTTTTGGTGGTGTTTTCGCGGAGATATTAGCAGAAAGCCATCGGGCGCGTTGCAAAATTGCGGACGCCGGTGACGTCACGATCTCAGAAGAAAATCGCTCGTATCTCTGGAACGCAAAGACCCAGAGAGCTCAAATTCGGGGGAGGAGGTCCCAGGGGAACCCTTGCCCGAACGCTAGAGTGGCGGGCCTCGGGGATGCCCCCTACCGGATCGCCGTTCGCTGGGACCCCCGATTTCGAACGGCTATAACTCGGGGAGCCGGGCGAGTTGGACCTCGGGGGTGGGCTCGTTCGAAAGGCCCCGTCCAGCACTACGAACGATTAGATTGATCAAAGATTGACTGAGATATAAACCGAAAAACGTGCGCCTTTAACCGGACGTAACTCCCTGACCGTCTACAATAGACTGTATATAAGGAGAGAGGCTCGGGAGCGCGCATGCACGTCACATCCGTTGGATTTCGCGGTAAATCCGACCCGGAGACTTCACATAGAAATAGGAATACTGGCCTTCAGAGGTAATAGCAAAACTCGACAAGTGGATCATTTTAATGTGTGATTACAACCCCTTCACACACAGGCAATAAAAAAAGGATTCATTTTAGTAGAAAAGTTACATAGAGCACCTTTAACTAGTAACATCTGAAAAACAAGTCACGTGTTCATGAGTTAAAAGACTTTGGCAACCACAGTATATGTTTTTAATCCAGAGACTTTTATCAAATATACCTTTGCTTTGAGTTCTTCCGTTAAAACATGAGGTGTTCGAGTGTGTGACGGGAACTCTCGACTCTGTGTGTATTGTACTGTATGGCCAAAAAAGGAAAGAAATCAGAGGAATGCAGTGATTTGTTTACAGCGAAGTGACGTCAGGCCTTCCAGTGCTTCTGTTCAGAGTTCATGGATCGGTCTGAGGACAGTTTGACTGAGACCTCCTGCTTTACGGCTGTAATTCGCTTTAAATGAACACAATAATGAAGATCAAATCCACAGTTTGAGTACATAAGATTTAGACAGCAGGTGACCAAGAATGCAGTAGATACAGTAGTCTATAAGTTCATTTAAACCTATGTATTCATAAGCCTCGCTATGACATCATTTTACTTTCTTTTAACAAAATGTCCTAATTTCACAAGTTTGACATTGAGTCATTGTATCTCTTGTATCTAAACAGACAACAAAGCCAGGCATACAGAGTTGCAAACAATCAGTAAATAGGAATGATCCTCTCTTTGACAATGAAGGCGTACAAATTGAGTGTTTAAAGTCATAGATATCATATAATAAAGGCTGATGACGGCGGAGTCATTTCCGGCATCACCGTTCGGCCATCTTGTCACAGGCAGGCTCTGATGTAAGATGAGTGATCAGCATGAACACAAATCCTCTTATCTCGCTGAAATCTTGACGGATTTACAAACGCTTTGGTTTCTTACAAACGTTATTAACATGGCTATAATTCTGAATGCTTGAACATATATGTTATAATTATTCACATGTATGCAGTGTCATAACTACATCTCGGACGTTTATAACAAACCAAACCGTTTGAAAATCGGTAGAAAATTGAGCAAGTTATGGTTATTTAAAAGTACATGCACCATTAAAACACAATGTTAGGAGCGAGCGAGCTGCCTGTGACAAGATGGCCGTCACGTGCGGATGTCGACCTCCATTGGCCAGCAGCGCGGACGAGACATCTAGCCTTTATTATATCTATGGTTAAAGTCACAAGGAAACGGAAGTAGAAACCTTTAAAGGGCTGGTATAATGCCCTTTTCACAAGACGTAAAATAAGTCTCTGATGTTCCCAGAGTGTGTGTATACGTGAAGTTTTAGCTCAAAATACCCCACAGATATTTTTATATAACATGTTAAAATTGTCACGTTTTGAGGGTGAGCAAAAATGCACCGTGTGTGTGTGTCCCTTTAAATGCAAATGAGCTGCTGCTCACAAACGTTTAGCCTTTTATGTTCAAACCGGAGTGGGCCAATGATGGAGAGACTCAAGAAGAAGTGACAACATGTAGAGCAACAGGACATTTCTGAATGGTTAGTTGATGAATTTATGTAGCTTAGGTCTCTATCTTCTAGTCATTGATAAGCATATTCTGTCTTGGGAATCTATAAATCGAGTTCCCGGGGGCGGGTTTATGTAAATTTTAGGGTTGGTGATGTCACTTACCGGGGAGGAATGTGGTGTAGTCCCTACCAGCCGTTTGTTGTAGTCCTTAAAAAAAGATTTATTTAAAAGCAAATATCTTCCTTTGCTTTGAACTTTGAGCATTTTAACTTTGCAGATGTTGTTTATCCTCAAACAGCAACATTACACACTGACTAAAGCTAGAAAAGTGAAATCGTAATCAACCACCCCTTTAGAGAGGACAGCCCTGCTGTGAGCTACAAGGTGGTTCCTCGATAGTATTTGCTTCTGTTGAAGCCGTCAGTCAATTATTTCAGCTTATTTTAAAAATGATCGCGTTTACCAGTAGAATCCCTCGTGAAAAACTACATTATGATGCTGTACAGAAAATACCACCAGAGTGTCAAAACCATAGACTGTAAAAAAAAAAGGTCGAAACAAGCAAAACTGGCAAACGATCTCGTTAGCTCCGCCCACTCCCATGAAGCACTGCGAATGACCAGCCGATCTCCTTGCGCTCTGAAAATACTGAAATATTTGAATATATATGCATATTTTGCATTAAACTTAAAATGTTGTGTTTATATATATAATCAACGTTTTTAAATGGGTAGTTTTATATTTCTCTATGATTTTTTATTGGATTATGCTGTTCGCAATGCTTCATGGGATTGTAGTTTATTCAATCACTAAAGCCGTTCAGTCTTGTACCTCTTTCATTTTCAAATACTTCTTAGCTTCAAATCAAAGTTTGTAGTGTTGTGATTCTCCTCTACTGATTGTCTTGGTTCGTGGCTTATAACTCTTTAACGAAAACTTTATAAAATCCCTATATGGACTTTACTAGTACTAATAATAATAGGCTAATAATGCTAATAGGCTAAGGGCTACTTCAAGTTAAAAAAAACATTTTTTAACGTCAGGGGTTCAGGTCATAAAACGTTTGGGTAGGCTACTTGTAATGAAGTATTCATACACCTGTCTCAATAATACTGTTATTTATATTAATATAATACATTTGTGAAGGCACAAATCACATCTGTGCAAAGAGCTCCTTCCTGAGATTGAACTATTAAAAACAAAAAATAGCCTGCTCAATTCAAAAAATTAGTTGTGCTTAATTTTAGTTTAGTTAAGACATACATTTTTTATAAATAGGCTATATTCACAAACATTTTATGAATGAATAAACTGTGATGAATGCGAGCAGGTCTCCTGATAGCACACGTATCTCTGAGACGTGTATTTGATCCGCGTGTTATTCTGCAAGATGAGTTCGAGTGTTTGCTCATCTTCCAGACAGCAGACTAGTGTCGGCCCAGATCCGGCCCATGTGTAGATCTACCAGATGTGGGCCGGATCTGGGCCGTGTGGAAGCCATGTGTAGATCTACCAGATGTGGGCCGGATCTGGCCCGTGTGGAAGCCATGTGTAGATCTACCAGATGTGGGCCGGATCTGGGCCGTGTGGAAGCCATGTGTAGATCTACCAGATGTGGGCCGGATCTGGGCCGTGTGGAAGCCATGTGTAGATCTATGTGCGCCGAGACGAGGCTGCTGTCTGGGCTGCAATAAGTCTCTAAAAATAAGGACATTTCCTGTCAGATGTTAAATAGACATTCAGAAAACGTCTTAAAGAGGTAGAATGTATGTAAAACTGATTTTTTATAGATGTTTATCAGATGTTTGTACACAACGAGGTCACTCTTCCGCTGGAACTAGACTCACGTACGGCCGTTACCAGTGATTATAGTTTATAAAGTTATAAACATGGATATTTTTCTTACAAAATCACATGGCTTTGCTTCAGAAGGCCTTTATTAACCCCCTGAAGTCGTGGATTACTTTTATGATGGATGAGCTTCAAAAAAAGAGCCAGGATATTTTTTTAATATACCTCTGATTGTGTTCAGCTGAAAGAAGAAATTCATATACACCCAGGATGGCTTGAGGGTGAGTAAATCATGGGCTAATTTTCTTTTTTGTGTGTGTGTGTGTGTGTGTGTGAACTAAGCCTGTAATGAGACTGAGGAGAATTCCTGCATCTGACAGGAAGGGGCTTTTTTAATGCAATAACAGGGAGTCATAAAAAACACTCGAATCTATAAAAAATTAAGATATTTCTGCATCTTGTATCAAAATATCAATCATACATCTAATACATCAAGTAGCCTATCCTTTTCAACCGCTGAGATGTCTTAACAGCTTTACAATTGTTCTGCATGAAGTCAGAGAGTCGTAAAAAAAACTAAGTCGGTCGAAAATAGTCTACCATTTGGTACATACATTTTGCTTTATGTAGCCTATATGATATTTACCAAATAAAATTAGAATTTTCGTTATATTATCCATTCCCAATAAACCAGTATCACAATCCATAAACAATACCATTATATCAGTTATAGTGACAAGTTTGTAAAACACCCAAAAAATAAACAGAAACTTTGGAATGGATCAAAATAATTTGGCCTTCAAAAGTGAGTTTCGTTGACTTCATTAGGAATAACATAATTATTCATATCTGACCACAGATTCTGAAAAAAGGGAATGAAATCCTGTCTCGATTTCATCACTGCGTTAGGTGAAACAGTTGAGTTGGGTTGTTACGACAGGGAGGGCGAGCTGATCACCTGAGAGCTGCGCGCGCACCCGCTGCACCGGCGTCAATCCGCTTACGGGGTTTCTCCCGCTGTGGCTCGGGATAACACACCACTCGTCGGCGATTTGTTTCGCTCTGAGCTAAACTTCACCGCTTCTGGATAAAAACACTGGAGGAAGAACTAAACCAAGCCGTGTCGAGCATGAACGCGTGATTATCGCCCGGGAGAGAGCGGTCTCGCTGCTGTCCTGCCCGTGTCGCGGTGTGTATCGGCGCTGAGAGCAGTGTCCGCGGGCATGGCCTCGGTCACCTCGATAGAGGCCGTGAAGAGGAAGATCCAGGGCCTCCAGCAGCAGGCGGATGATGCCGAGGACCGGGCAGAAACACTGCAGAGAGAGCTGGACCTGGAGCGGCAGGGCAGGGAGAGAGTGAGTGAGAGAGAGACACACACACTGTGAAGCTCTTCATACACACCGTGTCCGTGCGAGAGCAACACCAACCAGTCTGCTGTGTGTAGGAAGGGGCCTTCATAGGCCTGGGGATTTCATGCTGGGGTCCGGGGCCACAAGGGAAAAGTCTGTAAAAAAAAAAACGGTACAAAAAAATAAAATAATGATACAAGTAAAATAAATATGGAAATAAATAAGTTAGATAAAAATAAAAAATATGATTGTAATAAAAAGATTAGTAAGTTAATAATCTATTAAATAGATTAATCTACATTAAAATAAATGAATAACACTTTTGATTAATATAAATAAACTAAATATTTAGTAACTCCAATACTATAGTTGAGTGGCTTAATAGAATTTTAGATTTAAAATTTTCTGTGTATACATTTGGTGTTTGTAAAAACCTTTTCCATGTTGGGATGAGGGTCCCTCACATGAAGATGGTCATATGTGGGAGTCTGTGGCATCTAAAAGATTAAAACCCCTGTTGTATGACCTCAATATCTTTATTTAGCGCTCATTTTAGATACGGATGGCAAATGTAAAACCGATGTTCTTCAATGTAGTGTCATTTTATGCTCCAATTTTCTTAAACCAAATCAAAACATTAATTTCACTTTATAAACACGTTATCCAGATATCAGTATCCATTTAGGTAGACCAAACAGTGAATGAACGACATCAGCAAAAGAAGTTGAACAGATGAACTTAAGCTAATGCGCAGGACAGGATTAGAGTTCATATCGAGGCCAGGTGTGTGACGCACAGACTCAAATCATCTCTCACATCAAACTTCAGCTCTTTCTATGACATGGACCTATGGAAATGTGAAACAAGTGGTCAGTTAAAACAAGGGATTATGCAGTTTTCATCCTCCTGAAGGTGGACACTTGCGCTCATCTGACCCTGAACAGGATAATCCTCTTGTGTTCTTGTCATCCGGTAAGAAAAGTGGTGGTTGTTTACATCAGGATAGACAGGAGTGAAAACAAGGGACAAAAATACAGTGCATTCAATGGGTCGTACTGTCGTTCAGCTGATACACGACTTTACAGAAAGAAAAAAAGATTCAGTGAAACAGTTGTGAAAATGACATGATCTAGCACCTTTATTCAGTGTGTGCCATTGTAAAGACTGTACGTCTCGTTTTCATCCGTGTTAAATTCAGTATGGGGTCTAACCTGACTAAAGTCTACCAGGGTCTGAAATTAACGGGGCTTGGGGCAAAATTGCCACCAAAATTAATAAATGCCTCCAAAAACCAAGATATGGTGCAAAAAAGTCTCTGTGCAAGTTCTTGTTTTTAAAGTATCACACGAGCAAGAGTGCTGTTTGCCAGAATATCAGCGCGTTTGCAAATGTGATATTAATTTTATACAACAATTTAACAAACAATAAGTTAATAGGCTATTATTAGATGGTCAAATTAGACTAAATTTAGTCTGTTTTTGCTCTATTTTGCCAACAAGAATAGATCATAACATTAGAACCATTGCGTGTCTCAGAACAACACGATTTCAGTTTCGTTACTGAATGAATCAACGTTTATGAATGAATCGTTCTGATGAATGACTCTGCGACTCGCTCACTTGAATCAGTCGCTTTGAACCAATCACTTGAGTGAATGATTCAATGACTGACTTAAGACAGTGATTTGCCGCCACCTACTGGTGGTTTTAGTATCATTTAATTTTAGCTGGGGGACAAAGATTGAATGCTGTTTCTGTTTTCAGTCGTGATTGTAACAATAGTTCTGGTTAAAGAAATAGAATGTGTTTATAAATAGACTATTAAGAGCAAAATATGAGATATCGTTGTAAATATAACAGAGATAAAGTAACAGCAGCCGCATTGCATGCAGTGTTGTTGTCTGTCTTTTTTTCCTCTGTTAAAAATGAACAAAAATCCATTATTACGAAAATGCATCATAAGTCAGTTTCCAAAGCTTTGTTTTGGTTGTGCTTTGGCTCTGACCAGCTCTAAAATATAAATCATTATTCTATGTTTATCAAAGTGTATTTGGGTAAAGTAATAATGAGTAATCTGAAAGTAGTCAGAGATTTAATTGCCTATAAAGTGAAGATAACGTTATATGTGCACAAATAATGGCTAGTTACATGAAATAATGTTGTTGGTAACGCCAAATTTGGACCGTGAGTTTAATAGCAATAGTTTTCAGTGTGTGACTGATCTGACTGAGCTATAGGGTCAGTGACATGATTTACTGGAGAACATTTGCTTTTCCAGTAGGCCAGAACAAAAGCGGCAGATATGTTGCTTAGATGTTTTATTTTTGTATTTTGCAATGAAAATAGCTATAGATGGCGGGCATGGCCCACAAAAGAGCTAGGCCACCTTTGTACTGAGCACTGTTGTTTTCCTAGTACAAGTATTGTTGTAAGGATTTATCAGAAGGATGACATCAGGCCTGCCCTTTTGGAGTAGTGGTAAATACAGCTACAGGCATGTTGTTTTTCTGCTTTCTTTAAAATGATAAACAGACCAAGCATTTATTCATGCTCAGTGCATGCTTTATTTAGTGATGTGATCAATGTTCCCACTTTTGGCATAGTAATTGCAGTGTTAGCATGTAGTTAGCTATTAAAGAATTGGACAAACAGTTGACACAGTGATCTCAACCCTCTTTACCTAGTGAACTTTGCATTTTTAAAGTTTATCTTTCAAATCCAGCAATCCATGCATTCAGAGAGAATGTTACTGTCTCTGATGGGAAAATCTGCTTCCTTTAGCCATGGGATGGGAATCATAACAATTCGTAGGGAATGCATGAAATGATAATGTATAGCTTGAATGCAATAAAAGTCACTTTGGATAAAAGCATCTTGCATTTAAATGTATTGTGTAGATATGTAACAATTCTGATTCCTTAACGCTTCAATCAAATCAATATAGTGATTTTGAGAAAAAAATGTGCCCTCAGTAATGATGTCGTTTTAGATTTCACCAGAACAGACTCATTCAACACAATCTTAAATCCCCCTCTAGTCAATAATTGTATCCCTTAAAAAAAATTCTTCATGGCTTGAATGTAACTCTACATTCTTGCCTCATTTAGTATACACAGTTCTATGGATATGCAGATGAGCCCCGCCTCCACTCACTCACTCACTCAGCTCAGAGATCCACTCGTTGACGATGACACGTTGATCTGATTGGAAGTGTGTGACGTCAGAAACACCAGCGATTTCAAACCGTGTTTTTGAGACTGTCAATGTAGAACAAGTGTGTCGCGCACGTGCTGAAAAGTGAAGCTAACGTATAGTTCGGTTTTTAACAAAAAGGAAACGTTCAAATGGCTTAAAACAGACGCGATAGCTGATTGGAACGAGTGATGTTCGACGGCGGCATCCATCTTTGTAATGTAGGCTACAAAATCTGCTTCAAAATCCCAGCGCTGTCGTCATCGTGTAAAGCCCGCCCCAACGCTTCTGATTGGTGCCTCGATTTCGACGGATTGGAAATGGGCTTGAATGAGCTCTTTGCCAGACTAACTTTCAGAGCAAATCTAAATTTGCCGGAAGTTGTCTGGGTTTTCCCAGGCTAGTTCACTGCAGTTTTAAGGAGAAAATACTCAGCAATGTGGAACAAGTGTGTCGCGCACGTGCTGAAAAGTGAAGCTAACGCATTTGATCGCCCCCTGGTGGCTGTCTGCAGTATAGCTCATAAACTCCACCCTCGCCATGTAATCGAATGGGACGTGAGACAAACCCAAAAAATCCAATTACACTTCAAATACTTATTTTTTGAAGATGGTTTCTTTCCTTTTAGGTAGTTCTTATCAAGCAGACGTATGTTCAAGTGTTTGTTTTTCCAATAAGTTGGTATTAGTTAGTTATTTAATGCTATGAAACGGGGTGTGAGGTGATGATTGACAGCTGTGTTAGCGAATGAGTGTGGAGGAGTGTGAGTGTGGGCGGGACCTCCACTACTGCACACACTCGGCCTACAATTGACGGATATTTTGGCTTAATTTTTTTTGGAAGACACGTCGTCCATCTTTTTTTCCAGTCTAGGGTTTGGAATCAGACCACGCTGCACCCTGCATGTCTCGCGTCATAGATCTAGTAAAAGTGTTGTAGTGAACAGTGGTGCAGAAAACATTGTCACTGTGTTTTAGTACTGTGTTCTGTCTGTATGATGAAAGATTTTTGTCATACAATGGAGTTTCAAGAAAATTTAAAGGTATAGTTCACCCAAAAATCATCATAATTTCTGTTAATAATCCCAGATATAGGTTCATGCTTAAAGACCAACTGAAGTGGCTTGAAACGTGCAGCATTAGTCAGTGTGTTGATGTAATTTCCACTGAAACAGGAAGAGAGGGCGGGGCATATCGAACAGCTCCTCCCCTTTTCTAAAATAGCCAATAGCGTTTAGTTTATATCAGAACGTTGAGCTCAGTAAAGCTGCATTTTTCTCCTAATCTCTAACCTGATCTCCTCCATATCGCTTTAAAATACAGCATTATGTGCAGAATTCAAACTGGTCTGACACGTTTTCTGTTCTCTCATATGATCCGCTCTGTGTATCGTGTCTCTGGAGCGGAGCACTAACCTGAAACCAAACTTCATTCGCCCCGATCAAAAACATATTTACACTGTCTGAATCACTCCCTATCCTATATAGTGCACTATCTGCCATTCACCATGGAGAAAATAGTAAATGTGTGAACAAGTGACCGATTTCAGCCACTTCAGCGTCTATTTATAATGTAGGGGGCGGAGCTTCAGGTTCTAGAGAGCATTTGATTGGACAGGAAATCTGATGAGAAGCTGAAGTGCAGAGTGATGTCATCAAATTCACTGATCCATATTGGCGTAAGAGGGACTGAGTTTTGAATGCTTATATCTTCTATTCGCAAATGTTGTCATTGTTTTGGAGTACAGTAAGTATAACAATAAGACTAACATATTCATACTAAAAGCCAAAGAATTTTAATTTTGATTTCATTTTAATATTTAATGCATAATTATGTACATAAAGAATCTTAACGATTTCTAAAAATCATTTATTCTGCCTGAAAAGACCATAAACACTATGGATAATGTTCGAAGTATCAATTAATGTAGAGACATGTATCTTAAAAACTGTTCCTGTGCGTCTGATACGCTGCAAATCAGGTGGTTTTAGCTCAGTGTTGTTTCGGCTGTAAGTCATTGATCGCTCGAACTCGCAATGAGCAATCCATCATTTACACAGATCAGTGCGTGAAACACTAACAGCCTGCGCTTTTTCAAAAGGCCTACTTCTGAGGAAACAACAATACAAAAATGATATGTGGTTGGAGACAGAGGAGTTGGAAAACAAAAAGAGGAGTCACAAAAATGTTCCACTTAATTTTACATTAATGGAAATATTTTCACGCCACATGTCGCCATCGCCTCATCCAAACAGTTCAGCCCAGCATGTTGCATTGAGGTGTGTTGCTGTGCCGCAGGCGGAGGCGGAGGTGGCGTCCCTGAACAGGCGTATCCAGCTGGTGGAGGAGGAGTTAGACCGAGCCCAGGAGAGACTCGCCACTGCGCTGCAGAAGCTGGAGGAGGCCGAGAAAGCTGCCGATGAGAGCGAGAGGTGTGTCCTCCACATTCATTCCCTGTTATCACGGCTTTGAAACGTTCTGTATGGTTAAAAGCACTATATAAATGAAGGGGACTTGACTCCACACCTGAACTCCACATCTGGGCATTGTTCACAGCCGCAGTGTTTTATGTATTTGACTCGCATCCATGGTTGTAATATGAACAAAAATAGACAGCAAGATTCAAGCTAGATTTGTAGTTTCAAGTAGCTTTTTGGTCATTGTCCAATGTGCTTTCCTGCCTTGATCCCGAGACACTGGGATCGACTCCAGCATTCCCGATGACCCCACATTGGACAAGCGGTTTGGAAAATGGATGCATGTTTTTTTTTAAATACTTTATATCTTTCAAGACAATAATTACAACAAAGCAAAACAAAAGACAAAATCATCTTAAATCATAATACCCACAAAAAAAACAAAAAAACAAGTGTGGTTCAACAGAACAATGGAAGTGCACAGTCTGCATGATACAAGAAACTTTTACTGCAAATGAATGCTGGAAATTAGATTTAGTCTAGGTCAGACAGTGAAACATGGATGCATGTGTTTGCTGCTCTTATAGGTCTCTTGGTAATGCGGACAGTCCGTACTAAATATCTTCTGCATTGTGTAAACAAAGCCTTGGAGAACCATGAGGAAATCCCTCACTTCGGTTTAGTCTGATCATGCTTTGCCTGACCCTGTGCTGTTCTCTGACAGAGGAATGAAGGTGATCGAGAACAGAGCAACGAAAGATGAGGAGAAGATGGAGATCCAGGAGATGCAGCTGAAGGAGGCCAAACACATCGCTGAGGAGGCGGACCGCAAATACGAGGAGGTGTGCATGCCACAGTGTTGAATGACTGCTCTTCACAAGGGAATGTATTGGCTGCTGGATTATGAATGGCTGCTGGTGGCCATGTATGCTGTTGTGTTCATATCGTATTTTATTGTTGTTGTTTTAGTGCAGAAGATGGGTCATTATACCTAAACTTGAATGATTGTTTATGGGGATTGACTTCCTTCTTCTTAACTTGACTTGACAGATGTGCTATTTGACGTAATGAATGAATAGCTGTGAAATGGTGTGTGTGTTTGAGTGCAGGTGGCGCGTAAACTGGTGATTCTTGAGGGTGAGCTCGAGCGCTCTGAGGAACGAGCTGAAGTGGCTGAGGCGTGAGTACACACAACTCTTTCGTTGAGATTGGACTATTGCATTATTATAAAACATCATTAAATAAAAACATCAGTAACCTTGTTAGTTAACACAGTGGTGTCTGTAGTCAATGATATTTCTGATACAATTACCAGCACTAACATGATAACATGAACAGGCTTAATCTGCGTTTGGATAACTGCTCCTTAAATTCCTTGCTAGAATACAGTGTGAACAAAAATGTATTGGTTTATTCAAAAATGTGTGGAATATGTGTGTATGTGCCCGTATTTGCATGAATAACTGAGTTTGATATGCATGTCTTTGGTCCCTGAAACAAACGACAAAGCTGCATCCAGCAAAATGATATTACCTTTCAGTTGTCATCTTGAGTTGAGTTGACAGAAGTGATCTCTGTCAGAACTGGAAGGTAAAATTCTCCAGGATCTCCACAGTCTTCAGCGGCTGCAAATGCTCTATAATAAGTAACAGAAGAGCTCTCAGGGTCATTGATCAACAGCAAGGTTTCTGATTGTCCTTTCTCCCCGTTTTCCAAATGCATGCTCCGTTGTTGCCCCCCCCCAAATGCCTGTTGTGGACTAACCCAGTCGAGTCAGGCAGCTGGAGGAGGAACTTAGACTCATGGACCAGAATTTTAAATCCATGATGGCCGGAGAGGAAGAGGTACTGCTGAGAGACTGACGCTAATGCCGGCTTCTGTATACTTGTCCTCTCTTTCTGAGATCTGTGACCTCCTCTGCTGCTCTTCTCGGCTTTATCCTTGTGCCAATGAAACGCATCTTTTGCAAAAAGTAAAGGGGCCTCAACTAGAACCTTGAGGAATGCCACACTTTAATTTCTGCTGTCATGTAACAAATAGCTCGGAAAAGGATTGCTTTTTCATTATTTGATTAAACATATTAAAGTAGCTAGTTTTGACCTCTCAAAACTGTCATTATATTCTACATTACATGGACTTCTTTTCCTATAAACAGTGGTTTGTGAGCAACGGTCAGGACTGTGAATGCTCCATCGATTGTTCCACTGAGGTTGGGGTCTCTTTAGCTAAAATGGCTGCCTTTCCTGTCTTCTCAAAGTGCTGTCTCTCTCCTCTCCTTTCCCCTTTCTTTTCCTGCATCTCTTGCTGCTGTATAGCAAATCTGGTGACCTTGAGGAAGAATTGAAAAATGTCACCAACAATTTGAAGTCCCTGGAGGCCCAGGCTGAGAAGGTAGGCTGAGCACTCACAGCGTTAAAGGGCCAAATGCCCTGATGTTCACTCTGTGTGTGTGCTTGTAGTGTTGTTCTTCGCACAACATATTATTGTATCACATATGTAATTTGTCTGAATTTTGAACCAAACTTAAAATGAGATTCCCCTTGTTAAAGCAGCATTGTATAGAGAGTAAGATAAGCCAATGAAGTGAACTCTTTTTAATCAGTTCTGTCTGAAAGTAAAATATCTTTCTGACACTCTCAGTCTCCATAGACTTCACTGCCATCTCTCTTGCCTAAGCTATGCACTGTTCTTCTTCTGATTTCAGACGCAAAAAAGCCTATAAAGAATTTTTTAAATATTGAATGACTATAGCATTAATGATTCATTTTCTTTTTTAATTATTCCCCAGTACTCCACAAAGGAAGACAAATATGAAGAGGAAATCAGAGTACTCACTGACAAACTCAAAGAGGTGTGTATTCCTTTCACTATATTTAAAATTACACTGCTCCGTCACTATGTGTGCATATTTCAAATAAAAGCACGGTTCATACACAATGGTTTTAGCAGTTATTGGACGTCAGCTGCTCTGAAATCCAGACATGGACAGCTCATTATTAAGTCATAATCTTCCCTGCTTTCTCCCTACTATGGTTGGGATTAGGTTTCTGACCAATCAGGTTGCAGTCTCCCCAGTGTTTGAACCAATCAGAAGCAGTGCAGTCAAAATTCGGCACAACACCAGCCTAGTAGTGCTGGTGAACTTGCTCTGGGCTTGTGCGTTTCTATCCAGTGATGAACACAACGCAAGCCACTCTGAATTCGACACCGTTATATGTAATCTTCCTCCAAAAAATGTTTATTGCGTTTCATTGTGCGCTCTGAGACTCAAGTCATTTATTATATATGAAAATTATTTTATACAGTGGCTTCTCCTACTTTTCTTAGTGATATTTAGTGCCAGTTTATCAGAAAGTGACGATTTTGTTCCCTTCGACTCACTTTGGATGGAAAACCCAGCTCCTGGAGCTCCTCTGAAGGCATCTGGAGTAAAACAGCTCTATACTTAACAAAACACCTGAACTGGAAGTCATGTGACCTGTTTAACAGGATACTTGTAGAAAAAAGAAAAACACAAAAGTTATATACAGATATATTATATACAGGTGAAACTCGAAAAATTTGAATATTGTGCAAAAGTTCATTTATTTCAGTAATTCAACTTAAAAGGTGAATATATTATATAGACTCATTACATGCAAAGTGAGATATTTCAAGCCTTTATTTGTAATAATTTTGATGATTAGGGAAACCTATGAAAACCCCAAATTAGAAATTAGAATATTGTGAAAAGGTTTTCATAAGCTGTAAGCCATAATCATCACAATTATAACAAATAAAGGCTTGAAATATCTCACTTTGTCTATATAATATATTAAAAAACGCGCGCGCGCTCACCGTCTTCAAAAAGTCTATATAATACGGTATATTAGTTTCACCTTTCAAGTTGAATTACTGAAATAAATTAACTTTTGCACAATATTCACATTTTTCGAGTTTCACCTGTATAACAGAAAGGTTTGTTTGGCATAACCCCCATAGCACTGTTGTTCATGCAATATTGTAATCATTTTGTCCAAATCGGCTATATGAAAAAATAACCATAGTAAAATGTTCTACCGTCTTCCGCTCCAGAGTTCATGCGAATGTTGATTTGTCTTTCTCTAGGCTGAAACGCGTGCCGAGTTTGCTGAGAGGTCTGTGGCGAAGCTTGAGAAGACCATTGATGATTTAGAAGGTACATCTTCAGAGTTATTGCCTGTAAACAGTGACTAATGACAGAATAACAGCAATGCTTGGACGTTGTGTGTATTAGCAGTTTTGATGACTCGCTCTTCATAACATGCCATTCCAATTATAACTTCCCCTCCATGTTTTGTCAACCATAATTAGTAATAGGAAAATGGAAAAACTGTTCGGCATGAGCAGAATGAGCTGCTTGTATACTAACATTGCTTGAAGCGGTGAAGGCATTGTGTGTTTTGGTTTGGGCCGATGGATCTGGTGTCGTTTTGATGTACTGAAACTGCATGTCATCTGTTTTTGGTGAGGTGACTGACACCTTAGATGTTCAGTGAATGAGTAGACGACACGCGAGAGCATGCATCGTGGGTTTTGCGGATGGAGTTTCATTTCAGAGTGACTGATCAAGATGAGGATTGCTGTGCCAAGGTTTTCTAACCAAGATCTCACACTGTTGTAGTTGAAACTGGCCTCTGTGGTTCTCCATCTGACGGCATTGTTTTGTCTTTTCTGCTCATTGTGTGTGTGTTCTCTGCGGTCGTTCCTCTGGGATGATGCACAGATGAGGTGTACGCTCAGAAACTCAAGGGTAAAGCGCTCAGCGAGGAGCTGGATCTGGCTCTGAACGACATGACTACCCTCTAAACACACGCTCTTCATCTCCTCCTCCTCTACAGTTTTCCCCTCTGTGGCTTCATTGTCCATTTGGCTAGTTGTGTTGTGTTTTCTTCTCCATGTGACTTTGAAACGGACGTGGGTCTGATTGGATGGAGCTCAGGCTGCAGCTCAAGTCTGTCTCTCCTGATGTTGTCATGATCTGTAATGGAAAGGTCAACATTGTGTGTTGTTCCCTCTCAGGACTGGTCGATAAGCCTGATGTTTAGTGTCATCACAGTGTTGACTCTTCCACCGCAGCGTCTGTGTCGTATGTGCTGCTTTACTTTATCCTGCTGCTGTAATAAATGTCCTCAATGTCTTCTTTCCGTTTCCTTCTGTTTCTTGAGATTCATTTGTTTGCATGATCACAGATTTATCATCTGTTTTATTTGTGAGAGTAAATAATTCAGGTAGTGGTGAAGACTTTTGGTGAATCACTTCATTTTGATGGTCCACTTTAGACATTCAGCTGACTATAAGATACTTTGCAAGTACATGTCAACTAATTAGTTGAGTGTCAGGTTAGGTGTTAGTAGAATCAGCTGACATTAAGTTGCAGTCAGTAGAGAGTCTGTTGAGGAGCATCACAATAAAGTGTTCGAAGATATTAACCCTTCGCTCTCCGTGTTGCTGTCAATCAAAAATACAATATTTAATTGAAATGATTGTACTATATTTTAGTTCGATACTGTTTTTTATTTATATATTATTTTGCATTTTTAGGGGATTTGATAGTACTAGATTATAGTTATACTTATTCACTTTTTGAGCATGGACCTGAAAAATAAATGTCCAACTTAAACGGACATAAATCTTGAATGCTTTGGATCACAGACTTTATAAGACGACACTTGGCAGATTATTGCTGAAGTGAAAAGAGATTTAATTGACGCGTACGATCACACCGGTGTGATCAGTCTTGGCGGGTCCCTGGAGCGTACGATCACACCGGTGTGATTAGAACAGTCAGTGCATCACGTGATCAACTGCTAAATTCAAACGTGCTTTCGCACGTTGGCTGGCGCTGAGCCAGAGACGGACGCACTCAGTGCTGTCATATATCACAACTATTGAGTATTTTAAACCACATAATGTTTATTTTAGGTTTCAGACATTTAAATACACATAAGTACTAGCAAAACAGTGATTTTGAATTAGTAAAATACACACTGATGTCTATGGAAACGGCAACAATAATCATTTCCATTATAATAAGACGAAACGTTTTATTCATATCAGATACACATTGTGTAAGTAGCTTTACATTTGACCCTATTCTTCTCCCAGTTCACCGGCCACTTACTTTCATGTATTTCGTGAGAAACAACAGATCCGATTCTCTGAACTGTGAAACAAACTAACATGGCGCCGCCCATCACGCATACAGCTCAACTAACGCGATCGTTATAAAGATGTTTAAACAACAAAACACATCCACTTGCACATATTTGACAATCGGAAAATCAGTGTTTCATGCTGTAGCTAATACATTTGTGAATATTTTGAATAGAAAAGGAAAAAAGACATAAAAGCAGATCATCACTCATTCAGCTCTGTGTTGTGATTGCGCTGTCACGTGACAAGAAATGACGCGTCACCATGGAAACATTAAAGTGACAGGTTCTAAATAACGGTCGCCTTGAAAAACTCACGCTGGGGGGTCAGTTACAATATTTTAAACTTACGTGTGAAAGGGTTAAAAAGTGAAAAAGTTATAAAATTTTACATTTATAGTTATGGGGGGGGGAAAGCACAAAAATAACTTTCAGTTTTTTTTCTCTTAAACTGTGAGAAAATCAAAGCAATAAATCTAAACAATCTGTGTTCCAAATTTGAGGTCGATATTTCAATACGATATTGTGCAGTACCAAACATTACCAATAGATGAAATTTGTCTCCCATTCATTTCCAATGCGCTCATTTCTGACCGCGAACAATACTAGTGTGACTATTTTTCAGGACCGTTCAACCTTTTCGAGACATGTCCATGATTTTATTTTTAATTATAATTATTATTTAGCAAGTGCCAAAACCTTTTCCAAGTTTCGTGCCATTCCCATGATGTAAAAAAAAAAAAAAAAAAACTTACAAAATTTCATGCAGCACCCGAGGGTTAAAAAGTCAGTCTACTAATACTGTCACTGACTCGTGAATAAGTGCTGAAGAACAGCACTCAGAAAACTGACAATAATATATATATTCCTAAATGTCTTTAGGACCATATACATCCCTATTGTAAGAAATCTCTGTCGCAATTTCGGGTTCATGCAGCCTTTAAAAATATGGCCATTAGACAACAAACTCCTAAGTGTCTTCCTAATGCTACGAGAGACATTACTAACACAACTAATGTAAACGAATCAAAAAGGTCTTTGATAAACTGTATTTGTATAAAAATAACATCAGTAAAAAAGCATTTTAAAATGTCAGGACTTTGTCTGCAATTAGGAAAACTCATAGAATGAATCCCTTAAAGGGACAGTTCACCCAAAAAATATAAACTCTATCATTAATTACTCGCCTTCATGTCATTCCAAACCCGTAAGACATCACACAACATTTTTAAAAGTAAAGCGATTGTGTCTCAGAAAATTTGGACTAAACCGCTCACTTCATATGGATTAGTTTTACGATCTCTCTATTAACTTTTTGAAGTGTCGAAGTGTAGTTGTGTAGCTGTCAATGTAGGGACAGAAAGCTCTCAGATTTCATTAAAAAGATCTTCATTTGTGTTCTGCAGATGAACGATAGTCTTACGGGTTTGGAACGACATGAGGGAGAGAAATAACTGACTCATTTTTGGGTGAACTAACCCTTTAAAGATCTTCTAAAGCCTGTATCTTTCTCTGTGTTTTTACTCGACACACAAAAGGTTAACACTTTGAGAACAGTCATGGGCTTAGTCTTCTCTGTCAATTTGTTAAAAAAAATGTAATAAGCCATTTTAAATATCAACGCCATTATTGGAAAAATCTATTTAATTTGACACACACATGTTTATGTGTAGAACAGTTCAACAGCCGAACTATGAAGAATGAAGAAATCTTTCAATCGAATATTCTTCCTCCTTCATTGAATATAGCCTTGATTACTCTCTTGCCTAAGCCAGGAAAACCTTTAAATTTGATTTCCATTACACGAGAGTAGATGTTAAAACTTCATGCTGATTTGTACTCGGCTTTCGCCAAGATAAGCAAAACTAAGACGTAGCTTTACAGTAAACTATGCTTCTCCATCCATTTACGCTTCTTTCCATAAGGTAGTGTGACTCCCCTTCTGTCCGGCGTTAACGGCAGCAGTGTACTTGGCGCGTTAGCGCACGCGACGGCTGCAACTACAGGACCAGCACGACAACCGTCTGGATTGAACCGAGTAGGGGACATCTCTAGGGTCTTCAAGTGGGCACCTTCCGTCCTCAGTGTTTCGTCGACTAGCCCACGACACCTCAAGAGGGCTCGACAGTGACTCTGGCGTCCCAGTGTCACCCCCCTCCGTCCCCCACTCAACTCAGCCCAGCTTACTGACCTCTACATCCCTCCTGCTGCTGAGACCTAACCACAATATCACAATCTCTGCGACCCAACCATACGCGCCAACCCGTTGACTAAGGCTGTCGAGCCCCACTGGTGCGTTAATATGCAGTTTCAGTGGACAACGGTTCCGTATGGCATACCACCTACCGCAAAACACAATATCTACCCAACCACCCGTTATTCACGCAAAATACACAGGAACGTATACAAACAAACCAACAGACTCTTCAAGTTTGAAAGAACTCTACGAAACCGTAGCGTGGCGGCCTGTACACAGCCAGCTAGAATCTTTCCGTCTCAACCACAGCCAGTTGCTGCTCCTTTCTGCTGCTTCAGATAAGTTCTTTACTGTGCGACGCAACTCTTGGCCACTGAATCCGACGTCTCTGAGGAACCGGGTTGTAGAGTGTGCCACAAAACCTCGACAACCCACTTCCACTGGATAAACCTGGACTCTCCATCCTCGCTGTTCTGCTTCAGTGGCCAGATGAGCATACCGCAGTTTCTTCCTCTCATATGCCTCATCTACCGCATCCTCCCATGGCACTGTTAACTCTATCAGTTGAACAATGCGTGCTGATCCAGACCACAAAACAATATCTGGTCGTAGGTTAGTGGTGGCAATCTCAGGTGGAAAAATAAGCCGTTGGTCAAGATCAGCCAGCATCTTCCAGTCCCTAGCAGCTTCCAGTTGTCCTGGGCGAGAATTGGTGTTAACACCTTTTCTTGGTGGTTGCTCGCCTGGGCGGAGGAATATTGTCTTCTGCGTGTAATGTTTTGCTAGAACAGGTGGCAACTTATTGGTCATGTTACGCTTGCCTTCTAATGCTAAAGCCAAACATCGCAGAACTTGGTCATGGCGCCAAGTAAACCGACCTTGGCTAAGAGCCACCTTACATCCTGTCAAAATGTGCCTTAATGTGGCAGGTGATGAACACAAAGGACAAGAGGGATCCTCTCCTACCCAGAGATTTAGGTTCTGCGGTGATGGGAGAACATCATATGTTGACCTAATAAGGAAACTGATCCTACTCTCTTCCATTGACCAAAGGTCTTGCCAGCCCATCTTACGTTGTTCCACACTCTCCCATCTCATCCACTCTCCCTGCTTGGCCTGTGAAATGGCCTTTATACACCTCATCCTCTCCTCCTGCTGTCGCACCTCGTTGACTACCAGCTTCCTCCTTTGAGCTGGGCCTGCCTTGTGCCATTTAGGAGGAGCTAAACTGAGCCCAAAACCCCCTCTTCCATGCTGTACCTGTCCCACGATATCCCTAATTTGAAGGGCAGCCTTTGCCTCTACTACAGATTTCTTTGCTGACCACTTTCTACCAGTTTTTAACACAGGGGCTGCCTCCCTTACACATTTGTCGCGTGACTCTACTAAGGTCATTTCCAGTCTGACCTTGGCACACTTGAACTCCTCGGTTAAAGCAGAGACTGGCAGCTGCAATATTCCTTTACTATAAAGTCCTACTCTGCTGAGGTAGCGTGGAACTCCCAACCATTTCCTGATGTATGAACTTATCAACGCTTCCAGCTTCTCCACTGTTGTCAAAGAAACCTCGTACACGGTCAGTGGCCACAGCAACCTCGGCAGTAGACCAAACTGAAAGCACCAGAGTTTTAGTTTACCAGGTAGAGCACAGCTGTTTATGCTCTTCAACCCTTCCACTGCTTGTCGTCTAACTTCTCCCACCCGAACTGTGTCCTTTAGATCCCCATCGTACCATCTCCCAAGACTCTTCACTGGCTTCTCAGAAACTGTTGGTATTGCCTCACCATTAATGAAG